ACAAATGCAATGAAAAAAATAAAAAAAATCATCATCAAGAACTTAATTCAGCAAGAAAAAGGAAAAAAGTAAAAATCAGGGTCTAAAAAATCAAATAGAAGATGAAATTAAACAATAATAACACATGCAATGTTCAAAGTTCACAATTATAGTACAAATTACAGCAAAAGTGACAATAAACAGCAATGAACATTATCAAACACATAATTAAACAAGTAAAAGAGGAAAAATAAAAGTTACACTACGTGAAAAAATGAATTTGGCACCGGTTCAAACCCGGCCTAAGGCACCGGTTTGAACCGGTGTCAATGTGGGGGGTGCCAAAAAGGGGTTAAAAAAGGCACCGGTTCAAACCGGTGCCAAAACTTGAAATTGGCACCGGTTAACCGGTGCCAAAAATGGGTTTAAAAAATGTGGAATTGTTTTTGTATTTTAATTTTTTTTTTTTAAAGAACATCAAACAATTAAAAATCGACTTAAATTATTTAGAACATCAAAATATAGATCGAATTTCAATCAACATAATCAAATATTTACAATATATAATCAAAACAATTTTACAATATAGATTAATACAGTAGTAGTTCAATTACAACATATTAAAAAAAATATTACAATATAAATAAAAAAAATAAACTCAATATTCTTGATCTTGATTCTTCCATTTAAGATCTAACTCAAGATACCTGCACCAATTAAAGCAAAAAAAAAAAAAGGATTAATATAATTAAGCTTCCCAAAAAATTAAACACAGAAAAAATTTGAAATCACAAAAAAAAATTGAAATCGCCAAAAAAAATAAACCGAAAAATACCCAGAAATCAAAAAACCCAGATAAAAAATACCCAGAAATGGAAATAAATTGAAATCGAAAAAAATATCAAAATTGAAATGCAAAAAAATTGAAATCGAAAAAAACCCAGAATTCGAAAATAATTGAACTCGAAAAAAAATTGAAATCGAAAAAATAAGAAAAAATATAATCCAGAAATCGAAAAATAAAAAATCAAAAACGAAAACAAAATATATTAAAATCGAATAAACAAAAATAAAAAAAATCAAAATTGAAATCGGAAAAAAAAATAACCAAAAAATCGAAAAACAAAAAATCAAAATCGAAAACAAAATGTATTAAAATCGAATAAACAAGAAACAAAAATCAGAAAAAAAAAATCAAAATTGAATTCGGTAACAAAATAACCCAAAAATCGAAAACAAAAAAATCGAATTAAAATCAAGAAATTATACCCTAACCTTGCTCATGCATGTGTTCGTGGTGGATTAAACCAAAATTTTTTTGATGAAACCCATAAAAAATTAAAGAGAAGAGATGGTGGCGGCGAGTTTGCGGTGTTGTTGTTGTTGTTGCGGGGGTGTTGTTGTTGTTGTTGTTGCGGAGATGTTTTGTTGTTGGTGTTGCGGAGATGTTGTTGTTATAGGTGTTGGTGTTGTTGTTGGGAATGAAGGAGAGCTAGAGGAGAGAGAAGGGAGAGCAGAGGAGAAGGGAGAGGCGGAGTGAGAGGAGAGAGGATGTTGACTGTTTTAGGGTTAGGGGTTATATAAGAGGCCGGTTTTTTTAAAAAAATTATTAAAGGCCCGGTTCACAAAGAAACCGGCTCAAACCGGTGGCCTTTATGATTTTGGCACCGGTTTGAAGTGAACCGGTGCCTTTTACTCTGGTTCAGCTTCCCACCAATTTTGTAGGTCATTTTTGGCACCGGTTTGGACTGAACCGGTGCCAATTAGGGGGTGCCTTTTTGATATTTTCTACTAGTGTTAGGGTTAGATCATGAAATTGAACAATAAAATTACTTAACGAAAAGTAAAAATTAGGGTAAATAATCAAATTGAAGTATAAAACTACTGAAACAAACAAAATCACAACAAATTTGAAACAAATATAACAAAAACGTCGGGAAAACAAGAAAATATTAACAACAAAAAAGAAACTAAAAAAAAATAAACGAACGATCAAGACCTTCGCAAGTTGTCGATCCTTTTTTGCCACCACGATGAACAACCTTAATCTTCACCATAATGCAACAATGGAGGACAGAGAAATTGCAGAGCAAATTTAAAGAGAGAGAAAGAGACTAATAAAATGCAGAGAAAATTTGAATTGCAAATGAAATTTGATGAGAGAGAAAGAGAGTAACGAAAGAAGAAGAAAAAAAGAAGTTAATAGAGAAAGAAGGAAGTTCAGGCGGTTTCCAATTTGTGTTTTTGTATTTAATTTTTTTTTTTAAAAATAACGGAATTCTAAGAAAACGGGATGAAAATAACGGGCTCCGTTATAATAGCAAACTGGGCCGCGAGAATTGGGCTTATAGTGGTTGGCCACATGGTGTGGCTGGCCACATATAAGACATTGTGTAAAGAAATATTCCTAGTTTCTCTATTATTGAAAGCCGTATAAACCAAGTTAACCAACAATGTTGGTGGAAGGTGTTAGAAAAATAGTGTGTTCACAAGGATACAATATTAACAATACGAAAAAATTATGAACAATAAATTGAATGAAGGAGCATTGAGGCATTGACTTGAATATGATTATGATAGAGAATAGCTTGCGTTGTATTGATGATTTTGGCTATTATTTATAGCCTACAAAAGATAACCTACACAATATAAACTCTATCATATAAACTTCCATAAATCTATCTTAAAATATCACTAAGATATATTATTATCCTAAATATAATATCATAAGATCTATATGGAAAATATATCACAATAATATATTTTCCTATATTCCTAACACGCACCCTCCCGCAATCGTAACGGCAGTAACACGAATGTTACGATTGGAAATTCGCACTTTGTTGAAGTCGATCAAGTTGCACTTACTCTGTTGATGTCGCCTTCAATTTTTTTTTTATTTAAAAAAAACGAACTTTTGCTACCACGGCCCTTTGCTGGTGTCCATGGTCTTCTGTCACGGCCCTTTGCTGGTGTCCGTAATCTTCTTTGCCACGGCCCTTTGCTGGTGTTCGTGATCTTCTTTGCCAGGCCCTTCGCTGGTGTCCGTGGTCTTTTGCAATTTTTTTTTCTGAATAAAAAAAAAAATGCCAAACGTGGCTTTTCTTCATCTCCATGGAGATGCAAAAATGGAGGAAGCACACTCAAACACTTCAACCTAACCAAATCACATATGATCATTCATATTGATCACATACACCAATAATAACCCACGTATCACATGGTTATTCCATAAAAAAAAAGATTAAATAAAAAAATAGAAATTTCAAAGAGCACTACTATTGCATAGCGGAAGCAAATTTATGAATCCCACCGGTGGGTTTAATATTCTAACCCACCGACAGGGGGGAAATTTTGTGAACACTCCCAAGATCTAACTTGCTCTTGATTACATGCTAAGTTCACATGAAAAATAGGAGAAAACGGCTTCATATTGACTATATTGTATTAGTTCTCTAATATTAAAATGACACTCCACACACAAATGCAATCTTAGGTGGGAGTTTGGTTCCAATATTGGCTGCTAGCTATTTTATACAAAAATGACCTTTAAGGACATTGATATATTTTATTATTTTATAATAAATAGTATATTTTATAATAACAATAATAATATTAATAATTATTAGTATTATTGTTGTGGTTGTTGTTATTGTTATTAGAAAAAGAAGGATTTTCTTATTTATTTATGAAAAATGTTATACATAACACTTAGGGCTACAAATAAGCATTAAAAAACACTCTTGAAATTAAAATTGTTTAAATTTAGAGAATCATGACAAAAACACACTAATTATATTGCACTGATTTACGCGTGTTTTTGTCATGAATTCCTAATTTTATACAAATTTTCAAGAGTGTTTTTAATGGTATACATAACCCTTTTATTTATACTCCCTCCGGTTGTTATTGATAGTCCCTTATGGGCAATTTTCACAGGAATTAATAAACGTAAATAAGAAGTAGTACAATACATTGGAAAGATAAATTTACACTGGGTATGTAAAAAAATAGAAAGAAAAAGTAATAAAAGTATATGGAAAACAAAATTCACATAGAAAAGTTACATTTGCACAAGCATAATGCATTTTGAGACTAAAATCAATGTTAATGGTTGTTAGAAAAAAACAAATGAGCCTATCATTTTGAGACTAAAATTTAGCCAAAAGAGACTATCAATAAGGGACGAAGGGCCTGTTCATATTTACTGAACTGAGCTGAACTGAACTGAACTGATTGGAGTTGAACTGAACTGAACTGAACTGATTGGAGCTGAACTGAACTGAACTGAACTGAAAATAAGTAAATATGAACAGGCCCGAAAGGAGTATTTACCTTTACATCCTTAATCTTCACAAGCATAATGCATTTATATTTTGAAACCTTTTATTGAATTCTCTAAATAAGTACTTCCTCTATTTCTATTTAGTTAACACGATCAATTTAGGCACACATATTAAGGAGAGCAAGAGAGTGAAAGAGAATGGTAAATCAAGTGGGGTACACTTAAAAAGCAAGGTATAAAACTTACCCAAAAAAAAAACGTGTTCACTAAAAAAACTTCCTAAAAGGAATACGTGTCAACTAATAAAAAACGAAGGTAAGTATATTGTATAACGTACAAGTGCCCACATGACTATACTTTTTCTTATGTATAAATCATCAACTTGATCCTCCTCGATCATGTGAATAGTATAAAAAAATTATTAAATTGTTAATTATGAATTATTGTAAATTATGAATTATTGATCATTAATTATTATTGATTATGCATAATTAATTATTAATTAATAATTATTGAATACTCCATATTAATTATTCATAATTAGTGAAAATTAAGGAAAGAAAACTACTTCAAAGGTGAAAAATCAAAAGGCAATATTAAAAAAGCTAGTGTAAGACCAACTTTTAATTTGTGTTGAAAAAGCCAAGCCGGTCATTTATCTAACACTTTTTTCTTTTTAATTAACCAAAATAAAAAGCCAAAAATTAATGGAAAAAATTGCCCAAAAGCCATTTGCAAACACCCCCTACAATATAGGGTTGGTTAGAGAAAAAATGGAGACAACTGTTGTTCATATGAACATTAATCGAATAATCATCCCAAAAAAAGTCGTACGTAACATATTGCAGAGAAGAAAAAGAAATGCATCAATACATTAATTGTGATGGAGATCGATGTAGAGGCTTCTTGAACCCCCCATAAAAGCAATGATATGGTACCTCTATTACATATTAGTTGTAACTATGGAATTTTTTTATCTCTCACAAATATTATCCAAAGTTACAATCGCGCCTAGTACATGGGGCAAGCCTCGAGCGATTGAGCGTGACATTACGCTCTTGATCGACCCAGGCGTCACTGCCTCGGCGAACTTTACTTAAACAGGAGGGCGACGGCGCCTGTTTCCGGAGTAGTCCTTGTGCATCAAAGTAAACCAATCCTCATTATTAGCAGCTTCATTGTCATAGGGTTTTAGCTTATGAATGCTATCAATCGTTGTTCCTACACTTTTTACTTTTTGTTTCTTGGCATTGCTCACCTCCTTGCCTTTTTTACCCTGTAACAAAAATACACGGGAAAATTAAAACTTCTATGAATTTCAACTTATTCTACTTGTTTGATTGGTTCAAACTTTCAACCAAAGATAAGATCTTCATATGGAAATTCACAATAATTCACCAATAGTCCAATATAATAAATTGATCAAATCTTATTAAACTAAAATACATCAGATTTTTAGATCTGATCATAGAACACAACCATACTCGAAAAAACTGAATCAATTGTCTTAAACTCATCATTTTTTTATTTTTTTTTTTTGTATCATGAACTCTATGAAGAAGTAAAAAATGAGAAGTTAGATATGTCAAAATAGTCATTATATTGTGTCTCTTCGAAGATGTCTAATAAAATTGGAACGATACAGAAATAGTTATTATATTGTCATATTTCAGTGAAATTTTGGTTAATATTCTAAACTTAAAAGTGGAATTTGGAGATATATGTGAGGTATAATTGGAAACATATATTTACAAGTCTCCAAGATTAACAAAGACTATTTCGTGGTGTGATGATGTAAGAGTTTTAGTGAGTGTGTTAGAAGTAATTTTAAGTTCTACCTTGGGAGTTATGGTTTGATGAATGCCTTTAGCTTCTAAAGTCTCATATCGGGGATAGAATTTTGCTTCCAAAGTCCCTGCAATAGGTAAAGAAAATTCACAAATCAATATCATAACTCGAGAAAGATTAAAGATTAAAGATCAAAGATCGAAAAAACAAATTAAAGCAATACGAATAAGTGTGGATACATACCTTGATGATAATAAAGAGGGTGATGGTGCTTAAAAATGGAGTCTCTAGCTTCAAGCAAAGTAAACATGAGCACAAAGATAAGACTACTTATCCTTATGGACATCATTTTTTTGGTATTGTATTATTCTACTTTGGGACAATTAGCTATTAATTTGTTGATTATGAGGAAGATGAAGCAAGTTTTGAATATGCAGTGGTATTTTGTTATATAATGGTATATTGGTATGTTAGTATGTACTATATATAATAGATTATTAGGTTATAGGAGTACTTCATACAATTATACAAAGTATTTTCGTAGCTTGATGTCATGAAGTTTCCAAAACAATAAAATATATATTGATTATTATGATGTGGGCCGTTATTTAAACATTAAATGCCAAAAAATCGGATTATGAAAAAAAAGAAAAAAGAAAAAAAAAATCATAATAAAGAAAGAGATGTGGCCCTTGCCAACTCATCTGGGCTATCATATTCTTTTTAAGCATTTACTTTGGGCTGATTTTACTAGGTAATAAATGTAAAAAATTATTTGGGCTTCTACTAGGCCAGGCCCTAGATGGCTTCTATAGAACAGATTAATTTTTTTATAAATATAATTTTTATTTATTGATAATTAGAGATATCTACGGTGAACTTTATATAAAATATGCCACCTAATTTGGAATGCATGAAGTACATTGTAATTTGTAAAGAGCGTACATACTACATACGAAGAAGCGTATAAGTGATATAACATCCGACCTATTAATTTAGCAAAATGTGTCATCTAATTTTTAACGGATGAATGGATATTGTAAAGAGCGTACATAAAACATAGGCAACATACGACACCATGTAACTATGTAACCGATATAAAATCCAACCTTGAAAAACTTCCCATTGTGTGTATCACTCTCATTTTTCCAGGCCATGCTTATACAAGAATAATATTTGAGCCAAAAAAAGCAGACACTACTAAAACTCAAAACTGCCTAGATAAAAATAAAATTGAAAAATTATGGTACATATATATAAGTATATCTTGATCATATACTCCCTAGTCCTATAAGTTGTAAAACTCAGAAACTAACGGTTGTTGGTGGGAGGGTTACGGCGACCGCCACCGTTTCCGGGGTAGTCTTTGTTCATCAAAGTCGTCCAATCCTCATTAGCAGCTTCAAGGTCATGGGATTTTAGCTTCTGAAAGCTTTCATTTGTTGTTTCTACACTTTTTCCTCTTTGTTTCCGAGCATTGCTTATCTCTTCATCTATTAGCTCCTTGGAATTTTTGTCCTGTTTCAACAGAAATATGCAGGGAAGTATTCAAATCAAGTTCAAATGAGCAAAAACATAGGCTAGGAGTGTACCACGCTCTTTTTATGTACAATCGGGTGTATAATAGAATCTATTACGTGACCATTTATGTACAATCGGGTGTATAAGGGGATAGTTTTGTACCTCAAGTTTTTGTTCTGGGCTTCTAGATGGACTGATGTTCTTTCCTGAAACAAAACAATGAGAAGTTTAATTGATCCATAAAACATTTCTTTAATTTCTTAACTTAGTTTGCATGTAAATTTCAAGCAAATAAGTAACAAATGGATTAAGAATAGGCAAACACAAGTCATAACACGTACACTAGAAATAATAATGAATTGAAAATTTGCAAGTATTTACATGTATAATATTTTATCCAATATCATATATATGAAAAAAAAAATGAAAAATTCCTTTGAACATTAATGAATCTCTATATTGTAATTGAATAAATACAATTTGTATGAGAATCTATCTGCTCTAACTAACATTTTTTTCTACCAAAGCCTATGAATTTTTTTTTTTTCTTTTTTGGACAAAATTTGAAGTAGCAAATATAAGTTTGCTAACTTCTTAATGATAGTAATACTAATCTCAATTATGCCTAGGTGGATGAGAATTTGGAAAGTGATAATCAGCACTTAATGCTACAAAACCAACAGGAAACTTGGCTTTCTTCTTAGGAATATTTCTAACACTTTGATTACATATTACATCCATTTTCCTTCTCTTCTTCCCTTTATTGTTACATGATGATTTCCATGAAGAAGATGTTGCACCTGAGATCTTTGAACTCCTACTATCCACTGCCATCTTAGCTTGCTCTTTCGTGTTCGCCTTCTCTTTCTTGAGCTCATCTTTTGAAGCCAATTTCCTTCCATTTAACATCATTTTATTGCCTTCTTCCTCTAGAATAATAGGTATGGACTTGATTTCCTGGAAGTTGTACATAATTTTAGTTCAAAATAGATGTTTTCAAAAAGTATAAATGATATAAATTAGGTAATACTAAACAATTATTGACAATGCAATTAAGGGAATTAGATTTCTCCTCGTGAGAAGGGTTTCCTAATGTTTAATTTTTTTTTAACCTTTTTTTAAATTAGAAATGTAGAATTGGCAAGTAATTTAAGAGAGCTTACTCGCAAAAAAAATTCAAGTGAAAAATCAAGAGATTAAGATTAATTTTGTCAATAAAGTCGTTATAGTTTTATATTTTAATGGCATTTCATGTAAATTTTCTAAATTGATGGGGTTTTTTTGAGAGGTTGAAAAAAGGGTTTTGGGAGATTTTTGTGGGGGAATGATTTGAACTATTCACAAATCTCGGACATTAACTATGACTACTTAAAGATGTGATGATATAGGAGATTTAATAATTATGAGTATATATGTATATATAGAGGTAAATTTCTACCTTGGTGGCTATGGTTTGATGAATCTCTTTAGCTTCTACAATTTCATTTCTTGTAATTTTCGCCTCCAAAATCGCTGCAAAATTAAATATGTAATAAAAAATGATGAATTAATATCATAATTCGATATTAAAGATCGAAAATCCTCGAGAAAACAAAGCAATTAAGTGTACATACATACCTTGATGATAAAGAGGGTGGTGCTTAAAAATGGAGTCTCTAGCTTCAAGCAAAGTAAACATGAGCATAAATATAAAGCAACTTAACCTTATAGGAACCATTTTTTGTCTTGTATTCTACTTTGTCTAATTAGTTAGTTGTTCTTTTCTTGCTTAAATTTAATTTGATAAGGAAAATTACACAAGAAAGAGGAATGAAGTAATAAGCTTTAAAGTGAAAGAAGTTGTGTATTTAGGGCTTTAATTTATACATATAGCTTAGGATGATTAAACTATTTAAAGTGATCGATCAAACAGAAAAAATGTAAGTCAAAGCTGCAATTCCAAGGATAATTGGTCAGTTTCAGTTGATAAATTATATAAACTAGTTGTTACTATAAAATAATAATATGGTGGTTATTATATGCTTAACATGTATCAGTAATTTATGCATGAATAGCTCAGAAATCAAAGCTTTGTCTAATGGTGGTGAAATGAGAATTAGTAATATAATGGGGTTTTAAAATGTTATTAACAGCGTGGAACGGAAGATACGGGGTTGTTTTCACTTTTGCACTTGTTTGCTTGCCGTCATGCATGCTCCGAGGTGAAAGAGTTCGTAGGGTATGTTTTTGGGTAGCCAAGCTTTGACCATAGATGTACACTTTTGTAGTTCCATTCACATCCTATATTCCTATATTGGTCAACAAATTTATTCAGAGCGCGGAATTGTGTTTTGAAGTGATACATGATTTCAGAAAACGTGAAGATTATACTGTAAGATGAGATATTGATATATGGTATCGTGTATGTCTCATATGATAGTGTTATGTATAATGTTATGTCGTGTAAATGTACTTTGTTATATCATTGAGTTGTTCATACTTTGAATTGTCATTTTTTATGCTTCATGTTATTGCCCCTCTACCAACCTCTATGTTAAAATCCAAGCAACCATAATTATAATAATTTAAACAGTGGATATAAAAGTCGTAATATTAATTAACTAGATGTTACTATATACATACTATATATATGAATATTAAGACAATGTTAACTTGAATAAATGATTCATTATTATACATATGAGTTTTGTTTATATATGTCTAGATTCATGCTCAATTATGCAACAATGCAAGAGGATTAAAAAATTCACTCTTACAAGCTCAAATAATTTCTAATTAAAGAAGCCTAACTACAAGTTCAAACTTTGTGAACATAAAGTGTATGGAAACTTGAAAGCATGAACTAAGTTGGAAGATCAAACCATATAGTGAAAAGGTTTAATTTTACTTTTGAAGTGTGAAACAAGAAGCCCACTTTTAGGTTGTAATAACTTTGGAATTGCTTCTTTTACCATCTTTACTTAACACTATTATTTGACTAATTTACCAAAAAATTTACTGTTTGACTAAGGGTAACATGTCCACATGCTTCAAAGCATGTGACACCAACAATTACAAGTGATCGAGTTTAAAAAAGTTATTGGTGAAAGAGTTCTACTAATAAAATAATAAATAATTGTTGTTTATTCAAAAAACAAAAAAAAAACAAAAAAAAAAATCAATTTGCCGAAAAAAAAAATCAGATTAGGTTTTGGCATATGGCTCTTTATTCATAAATCACAAACAATTTTGTACATGCAAAAAACCTGATTTTCTGGCAAAATGGTCAGTTTAAAATCCGATTAATGCTGAATATTCTGGCATATTGTGATTGGCGTTCAAGGAAGAGACAATTATCATTTTGGCATATAATCATTGGTCCATGATTAGCCCTTTTAATTATGTGAGTATTTTGCTTATTGCTTAATTAGAATACATTAGAACCCTAAAAAAAAGCACATAAGAGAAGTGCATGTTAGACTATTTGTACTCCATAAAATAAGTCTCTGTTTTGTTCACTTTATTTTCATAGCAAAAATAGTTCTTAATTATATATGAGGGTCACCAAGCTCAACTTATAACTTAAATAATTCTAATAAGGTTTAATAATTATGATCCATACATGTAGGTAAATTATGTAAATGGGTAATCAATATATATTTCATGGCAAATTCTTTAATTTAGTATATATGTACTTATTAGCTTAGGTATATGAGTATATCATGTATGCACATGATTTGCTTAGTTGGGAACTAATCAATAATCTCACAAGAGGAATTTTGATCTCATGCAAGATTGCAAGAATATAATGTATGCTTAGGAAAGTGTGACCTAAGTAATAGTTATGGATATACCTTCTTTAAGGCTATATTTAGGCTTTGTAAAAAAAAAAAAAAAAAAAAAAAAAAAAATAGCCTATATTAAGGCCGTGATTTGTTCATCGTATTTCTACTTATTATTTTATGAATAATAAAAACTCCATATGTAAAAATAAGTTTGTATCTAGAAAACACACACCTATCTACATTTTAGTACTTCACTCATCACATATATGAAGTTGTTTTTTTTTTTTTAGGAAATCACTCATCACATTTATATGTCTAGTACCAAGTATATATTTAGATTATTTACTATGGACACATGTAAAATTTTATCGTTCGTGCCAAAAATTATTTCTTTTCGACGTATTAATTCAACCTATTACCAATCAATTAACTAGTTTTAGATAAACCCTAAATGAGCTTGTATAGTTGTAAGTGGTTACAGCCCTTATAGTACTATCAATATTCTCAAATACTCAAATTCTCAATTATCATAATGATATTTAAACTAGTACTACTGTACGTATTTAAAATAATTAAGAGTTTTTCTAAGCTATGCCCCTAAGGTAGTCGAGTTTCTAAGGAGTACGCATGCTTTTTCAAATTTCTAAGTTGTGCCCCTCAACTCACTACCATTAATGAATGGTACCCTCCTTGGAACTTCCACGTCACCTAAAGTTAACTATAAATTTAATAAAAAGATGATAAAAGCTAAGGAAATGATACGAGAAAGAAATCTTAACCACAACAACCCTAATAACGAAAACTAAAGCCACGAAATGACACTCTCAATTAACTTTTAAATAACTAATAAGGGTACATTTTAGTATTGATAAGAAGTTGAAGGGTACGGCTTAGAAACTTGAAAAAGCATGGATACACCTTAGAAACTCAACTAATTTAGGGGTATAGCTTAGAAAAACCCAATAATTTTATTTTATTTTTGAAGGGAGAAAAACCCAATAATTAATTATATACAAGTATGCCGCAACAAAAAGGAAATATCTGAAAAAAATAAAGTAATAAAAACAAACTTGGGGATTTGCCTCTCTGGCGAAAGGAGGGGGAAGATGCGGCAGCACAAAACATGTATTAAAACATGAAAAGCATATATTAGAATAGAAACCTTAGTTTGGTCAATTTGCCACTATCTCGATTCGTTAACTAATTTTTCATACTACAAGATCATAGGTAGCAATAGCGGTAGCAGTTTCTGATTTCAGGTGATTATGTGATCGATTCTAATAACTCATTCATTTGCCCTTGTGAATATCGTGACTCTAAAAAAAATTATTATTACATTTATCATAATTACAAAAATAATAATAATTTATACTTCATCTTTAATTTTAGCGAATATCAGATGAATAGATCAAGAACTAAGAGATTAAATACGAATAACAAAACCATAATCTATATATTGTCAAAAGTCAATATTACTGTATAAAATATTATATTAAGTATAAAAATATAAAGAAGCATAATCAAAACGGAGTACTAAGAATACTAATTTAGTTATAGTTACTAACTAAATTAGCATTAACTTAATTAGGTTAGCTAAGAACACGAGGACGAGCAATCCAACATGAAAGCAGTGGGTACTTTTAGAGAATTGTGTAAACAACTGTTCAAGATTAGTCGGTTTCTATTTGTCTTATTTCTAACACTAATTGTCAAATGATTATACTAATTACTAATAAAGTTAACCCTTAATTAAAAATACTACTTAAAGTTTTACCGCATGTGGATGATAAGTTTCCAAGACAAACACATGTACACTAATCCATAGAATATAAATATATTTTACAATGGTAAGAAAAAAGTAATCATTAGGAAACCCTCCTCACGAAGGGAATTCCTAATGCGATCCATAGACCATATATGGTATCATAAACTTAGATACCAACAAGTTGTGAGAGGCTATGAAAAAGGCAATTAAATCGGTTAATGAGACATTTTTACGTGACACCCTATTACATACAGATCTAGCTAGAGGGCACAACAAAATTTGAATTATAGGTTTGATGACATTCACCTTTAATCTACCCAAGAGATTCTCATGCTCCGGACAATTTTTTTTTTTTTTTTTTTTTTGGACAAAATGATAAAAAGATATCATTTATAAAATAGCCAAACATCACTTACAATCAATTTTTGAGAAATTTAAAATTCCAACAAAAATATATAAAACCCTAAAAATAACAACATCGCATAATTGATTGATAATAATCTTAACAACAAACTTCATCCGAAGCAATACAATATGTGAGTTCGCTCTAATTCGGCATAAGATCTGCAGATGCATAATTTTTTGGATGAATATACTTCCGTGGTCTTCTAAACTCCGGTAGAAATTGCAAACCTTCAATCTTCATATTTCAATAAACAAATAATTAAAATCCCTGCCATGAACACCATCTTAAGGATGCATGATATCTTTTTATTGAAAGCAATTAAAGTGATTTTGGGGCTTTTCACCGGTTAAAACCAGTAGAACCCCCTACAAAATTCACAAATAAAAATCAAGAATTAAGGAGATGAAGAGAAGTAGGGAAGGATTGAAGAAAAAAACTCTAGAAAAAGAGGCTATGGAAAACCCTAGATGGAACTAGGGATGTCAGTGGGGCGGGTCAAGTAGGAGACCCGCCCCATCCCCGCCCCAATGGGGCGGGGATGGGTCTCGGTTTGGCGGGTGGTGGGGCGGGGATGGGGATAAAAACCATACCCGCCATGGGTGATGGGGCGGGGGTGGATTTTAAGTTGTACCCACCCCATCCCCGCCCCGCCCCACTTCGTACCCGCCCCATCCCCACCTCATACTCACATCTATATATCTTTTAAAGTAAAATTACATACCTTTATTCTATTTATAAAATAATTACATGAAATACAATATTAATTATAATACTTTGTACGACACTTATATTATAACACAAAAATGTGTATAGAATGTTTTATTTTATAATTCGTATTAATTACGTAAGATTGTGTATTTGAGATACGGATATT